TCGCCGGCTGGGGCCCCAGTTTTGTTTGTCAAGAAAAAGTCAGGGGAGTTGCGGCTTTGCAATGACTATCGGCCGTTGAACAACATCGTGATCAAGAACCGTTATCCACTCCCCCTCATCCCGGAGCTTCTCGACCGTTTGCGAGGGGCCCGGATTTTCACCAAATTGGACCTAAGGGGGGCCTACAACTTGGTGCGTATCCGGGAAGGGGACGAGTGGAAGACAGCCTTCCTGACCCGCTTCGGAAGTTTCGAATACAGAGTCATGAGTTTCGGGCTCTGTAACGCTCTAGCCACGTTCCAGCACTTCGTCAACGATATCTTTCGTGACTTTTTAGACCGTTTTTTGGTCATTTACCTGGACGACTTCTTGATCTACTCCACGAATCCACGTGATCACGCGCAACAGGTGCGCGCAGTGCTCCAGCGCCTGAGAGATCATGGACTCTATGCTAAGCTGGAAAAGTGCGCCTTCGATCTCGACGAAGTGGACTTTCTGGGACACCGCATCTCTGCGGAGGGAATTTCCATGGACCCCGCTAAAGTTTCCGCGGTGTTAGAATGGAAGTCCCCCATGAGTAGAAAGGACATTCAAAGATTCATGGGTTTTGCCAACTACTACCGCAAGTTCATCCCAGACTTTGCCCGCTGGGCGGACCCCATTACCCAATGCCTGAGAGGCAAACGGCCGTTCCTATGGACTGAGGCGGCTGAGGAAAGCTTTCAGCAGCTCAAGAAGCTCTTCACTTCTCAGCCTATCTTGCAACATCCTGATCCAACTAAGCTCTTTGTGGTGCAGGCCGACGCGTCGGATGTGGCGGTTGGGGCAGTGTTGCTACAACCTGAGGGAGATCATCTCCAGCCCTGTGCATACTTTTCCCAGCAGTTGACTGCCCCCGAACGGAATTACACCATTTGGGAAAAAGAACTCCTAGCCATCAAGTCGGCGTTTGAGACTTGGAGACATTGGCTAGAGGGTGCTATGCAACCAGTGGAAGTCCACACGGACCATCGCAATCTGGAATATCTCCGTACCTCCCGGAAGTTAAACCAACGACAGCAGCGTTGGGCGTTGTTTTTTGAGAGATTCAACTTCCGGATTTGCTACGTGCCGGCGGCTCAAAACAAACAGGCGGATGCTTTGTCGCGCAAGCCGGAGTATACTCGGGGCCAAGAAGATTCTTCTGAGTCCTGCATTTTGCGCCCAGAAAACTTTGCGTCCACCGGCGTATCGGGGCCCCCTTCGACTCTGGCTGAAAAGATCCGAGCGCGGCAGCAAGAGGACTTTTGGGTGCAAGAGCAACTACAGGCCGGACTAAAGTTCCCATTTCAGGAGTTAGATGGCATGCTGTGTCATCGTTCAAAGGTCTATGTACCGCCCGGGCCCGAGCGGGAGGAAATTTTAGGACTATGCCATGACACCAAGCCAGCAGGGCATTTTGGGATCTTTAAAACAATGCAGCTGGTGCTGAGAGACTTTTGGTGGCCCAAGATCCGACGAGAGGTCGAGAAATATGTCAATGGGTGCCCTGTTTGTCACCGCGCCAAGAACTCTATGGGCAAACCGGCTGGTTTGCTACAACCTCTACCCACTCCGAGTCGGCCCTGGGAAATCGTGTCGGCTGACTTCATCACAGATTTACCAGAATCTCAAGGTTTCACCACCATTTTGGTGGTGGTGGATCTTTTCACCAAGATAGGACATTTCATTCCCTGCGGGAGAGTGCCTACTGCCAAAGAAACTGCCGATTTGTTCCTGAGTCACATTTTCCGTCTTCATGGACTTCCAACGAGTTTGGTGACCGATCGCGGTGCCCAATTTACCTCGCACTTTTGGAAGGAGATTCAGCGGCAGTTGGGCATCGAGAGTCGGATGTCGTCAGCGCACCATCCACAATCTGATGGCCAGACCGAGAAGACCAACGCCACCCTTGAGCAATATTTGAGATGTTTTGTAAACTATCAGCAGGACAATTGGTCATCGCTTCTT